AAAATAGTACCCCAAAAATTAAAAAATTTCATGTTTTCTAAACTAAAACGATTTTATCAATAAAATATTTTCATTTAACCAATAAACCAGTTAACAAAACAAACCACTAGAATGAACACCCTCTATATGATATAATTGTGTCGTTATTTAACAATAGACTAATTTACCTATCTTCTCAGTTTAGTATCGATGCATTATACGTACAATTTTAGAATATTGTAAGGCATTTTCTGCATTTTGGTAGTCTAAGACCCTTCTAAGTTTCTTTTACTAGTTAGCATATTATGACCATTTCAAGCTAATGCTTATCGTCGTAGAAGAAAATAAAAAAATTTCAATTATAGATCAAAAGCATCGGCAGTATTCTGAGAACGATTAGGATAAAATGAAAAAAAATATATATATACATATGATGTCAATTTGACTGACTTGTTCTTTTCCTTTATTCAAGACGAGTACAATCTAAACCCTGGTTTAGAATGGGAGGACGAGTTCACAGGTAGGTGAATCTCTGAGAAACTCGACATACGGTGTGTTCCTTTGTTTACGTTTTTTTTTTTTTTTTTATTGCATTGTGTGTTGTTCTGGTTGCAATTATTACATCATTTTTTTTTCTTAGCTTGATACGCAATAATCACTTATTTTTGAAAGATGTAAATTTTAGTTGAACAAGTATCAAAACGTTGTGTAAAAGAAAATTTGTGTTCATGGTAAAAAATTTTATTTAATGGAAATAAAATTTTTTAATTAGAGAACATCAAAATCATTCGGAGTGAAATTTTTACCATCCGTTTAATTCGTCCGAAGTAAATAAGTTATAAAAATTTTCGTACATCGAATTCTTATGATGAAGAAAAAACGTTTAAGTATATAACACGATTTCTTTTGGATAACCGATCTTTTTTTCTTCAACAATTCTTTCAAATGTAGATTTTTAAGCCACCATTTCCTAAGCTTAAAAAATTGGTGCATGTACAACGTACTTTTCTTTAGCCTCTTACCTTGATTTACTTTGCATTGGTAATTTCTCCTTCTTAATTAAAAAATGTCACCAAGTTTTTTTTTTTTTTTTAGTTTAGAACTCGTGATTTTACAATTTTACGTGCCTGCGAACGGTAGGTGTAAACTTCCAACATTTTCGACTAAACGAAAATTTTTTTTTTCTACCCTCAATGGCATGTAAAATCGTATACGCATCACAGGAAAAAAACAAATGCCATTTTGAGACATTCTTTACTTTCGCTCCTCAAGTGCGTAATGTACTATTTCCTTGCGGTTTGTTTCTTTTATTTACTCTATTTTATCTCGACTTTCTACATCACACTTTGGTTACCTACATACTTGCACTGTCCGCGAATTATTGTTTATTTTACAGTAGCATGCACATTTTTTATTATTTTTATCTCATCATCACTCGTGAAAAAAAACCCAAAATGATTATGGCACTTTATGACCTCTTCCTCTCTACGTCACGAGACTCAGGAAGCTGCGTTAATTTCCCTGTATTTGTTATTATTATTATTAATCTTATTATTATTATCGTTATTGTCGACGTGATCGTCATTGTTCCCATCATCATTATGGTTATTATCATTATTATCATCATCATCATTATCATCGTCATTATCATCATCATCATCATCATCATCATCATCATCATCATCATCATCATCATCATCATCATCATCATCATCATCATCATCATCATCATCATCATCATCATCATCATCATCATCATCATCATCATCATCATCATCATCATCATCATCATCATCATCATCATCATCATCATCATCATCATCATCATCATCATCATCATCATCATCATCATCATCATCATCATCATCATCATCATCATCATCATCATCATCATCATCATCATCATCATCATCATCATCATCATCATCATCATCATCATCATCATCATCATCATCATCATCATCATCATCATCATCATCATCATCATCATCATCATCATCATCATCATCATCATCATCATCATCATCATCATCATCATCATCATCATCATCATCATCATCATCATCATCATCATCATCATCATCATCATCATCATCATCATCATCATCATCATCATCATCATCATCATCATCATCATCATCATCATCATCATCATCATCATCATCATCATCATCATCATCATCATCATCATCATCATCATCATCATCATCATCATCATCATCATCATCATCATCATCATCATCATCATCATCATCATCATCATCATCATCATCATCATCATCATCATCATCATCATCATCATCATCATCATCATCATCATCATCATCATCATCATCATCATCATCATCATCATCATCATCATCATCNCTTAGTGGGGTGCTGATGGGGTCCACTCTAGGCTGCCAAATTAACCACATGTGGTCCTAGAATGGCATCGTCACGGGGCGTAGATGTGGTCCTCTCTAGTGTGCCCCAATAGGAAAGAAAGTTTACCTAACCCTTTGTATTTTTTGTGTAGGTACATCATTAAATTTGATACAATTATCATAAGAGCATGTGCCTGATTTACCATGCGTGCTATGCAGATTATGGAGTTTATCGGCCGTACAGATAAGGAAGAATTAAATTACGGTCACATATATTTAACCCAAACGCAGAAATATATATTGTTTTCAACAGTTTTAGCTAGGTTATTGGGGCAGCCTACGATGGACCCTCAGTTCGCCCCGTGACGCGCCTAATGGGGTACCAACTAGGCAGCCTAAGGGGGACCCCATTAACTAAGGTGGCAAACCCATTAAATTTCTGATCGGGTATATATATATATTTTTTTTTTTTTTTCAAGACGGTTCCCCTAGAAAATAGTTTGCGTAAGACTCCGAGTCCGAGAAATCCGCAGCGCGAGATGGCGCTGATACACAATTAATATTTTCATCGACGAGATCTCGCGCACGCTGGTAATTCCCAGTTAGCGACAACTCCAACATGAAATTCTCCACCAATAAAATGTTAAAGACACTTTTATATGATAGTTTTTAAGCCTCTACATTTTCTTTTGTTAAGTTGAGTGTTTTCATCATCTCTCACGACTAGTCATATGCTGCTATACTTTTGACAAGCTTATGTTGCGGTTGTCAAATTTATTAATACTTGTAAATACTATTAATTTAAAAAATTTTTAATTTACTATTAATCATTTATTTATTTGGTAGAGTTTTTTTGGTATATTTAGACAATATTGCCACCATTTTTTGTTCTTTATAAAAATTTTCCACGTCATTAATAATATAGTCTTTAAAAGTAAAAATTATTTTTTTTGTTTAACTCAATTGTAAAAAAAGGTATCGTTTGTTTTGAAGTGAAAAAACATGGAGTTGAACTGTTCAATACAAAATTATGAATGGGGTAGAAAAGGGAGTGACAGTATAATAGCTAATTTGATGAAGTCTTCCAACCCAGATTTTATTATCAATGAAAGTTTACCATATGCAGAGCTTTGGATGGGCACACATCCAAATGGACCTTCATTATTAAAGGGCAAGAACATTTTTTTAGAGGAGTACGTTAGGGATAACAATCACGTTCTTGGCAAAGTGTTAATAGACAAATACAATGGCAAAATACCTTTTTTACTCAAAGTGGAATCAGTGAGAAAAGCTTTGTCTATTCAAGTTCATCCCAGTAAGGTAAATATTTATTTTTAATGTTATACATTTATTCATAAAATATTTTTACTGCTATACATAGATTATAAAATTTTTTGCAGGAACAAGCAGAGATGTTGCATCAGTCAAGCCCAAATATCTACAAGGATGATAATCACAAACCAGAATTGGCAGTAGCACTTTCGAAATTTGAAACTCTGTGTGGCTTTCGTCCGATTTCTGAAATAAAAAACTATTTACGATCCATCCCAGAATTATGCTTTGTCATTGGGCACAACGAAATATCTCATATGTTTTCCAGCAGTGAATCAAACTTTCTGGATATTTTAAAAAATTGTTTTATCAACTTGATGTCACAAGAAACTGAAATCGTAGCTGAGCAATTGAAAAAATTAATAAAACGGCTCTCTGATCTCGGTATGGTATACATAATTGTTTAAATGAGTTTGTAATGCCAGTATAAGACTGGATATTTGCATGGTATGATTTATTTTAGATGAAACAACTAGACAAAGCTTAAAAGCTGATCTTCTTGAGCGATTATACTCTGACTATCCAGATGACGTTGGTTGTTTTTGTATTTATTTATTCAACCATGTAACACTGCAACCTGGAGAAGCAATGTACATTGCGGCCAATGAACCCCATGCATATCTCTCTGGTGACTGCATAGAATGCATGTCTTGCTCGGACAATGTTGTTAGGGCAGGTTTGACTCCAAAATTGAAAGATGTTGAAACACTTATAAGCATTTTGTCTTATACATGTGAACCTGCATCAGCTAAGTTATTTAAACCGATCAAGGAAGATGAATGTACTCAAATTTTTAAACCTCCAGTACAGGATTTTGCTGTAGCCAAGATCGTTGTAAGTTATTTGTTTTCCTTTTATTTTTGTTCACCTCACATAAAAACCGTTTATTCTACATTCAGTTAAGTAATTTAGTAATCATTTGAACAGATTCCACCGAGAAAATCGTATGATCTAATACCCAGAAGCACTGCCAGTATTATGATTGTAATTTCAGGAAACATTGAAATATCCGATTCACAAATTTTTAACAAAGGATCTGCTTTATTTTTATCAGCAGAAGAAAGTATTAGTATTAAGACCACAAGTTGTTCAGAACCAGTTATGATATTTCAAGCGTTTGCAAACGTATAAAAAAATATTTATATAAAAAAATATTTATAATTCATATGGAACTTGCCTATGCTCGCATGAATCTGCATTTGAAGGGATATTACTATACGTAAATAGTTTAAAATACTGCCTGTACATAGTTTTTAGCGCATCGAAATTATAAGTGTGATTTTATTCAACCGTGTATCATTGTAAGTATACCAAATTTTACATACCAATATAGACTGACAGTACAACCCATTCACATATAATATACTTATATATGAGGAATAAGCAGTATTTTTGCATTTATCAGAATGTTTTTACAAATTTATTTTAATAAACACATTATCAGAATACCTATTACATGTATATATAAAAACCATTGCAGAAAAATAACATAAGCATCTTTTTTTCTGAAATTAATGGCATATGGGATATGATTATTTTTTTGTATTTCTATGTAAAAAATGTTTAATAAAATGTTGAAAAATATTTTTTTTCGTCGATATTTTTATTACTTATATTGACTTTTGAATTTCAAACTTACTGGCTACGTTTTTTTTTTGTGCCGACCGACCACAAAAAAAAATGCGTCCATACCCACTCTGATTGTGCATCGCACGCATGCAAGATCTAGTGAATTTAGGTATTTAAATTTGTAAATCTTTATTATGAGATACATCAGTTTCCTTTTCATTTCAATTTTTAATGTAAATGTAAGTAAGATTATTTTGATAAAATTTTATGTCAAAGCACTCCTCGAGTTCCTTGACAAAAGACACGGTGAGATACGGCCCTGATCAGGCATCCCTGATTCTTCACGCATGCGCGACAGGCTACAGATTATAGATAAATAGATTTATAGATGCAACAGATTAAGTATCTATTCTCGATAAATAGATGAGCTCCCCCCACCCCAGAAAAAACAGCTGCAAAAAGAAAAATGTGACATTTTAGGTTTGTTTGGCATCATTTCTGCGCAGCTTTGATCGGAGTCGATTGTGTTGTTGTTAGTTGTTGCCGACAAACACGCGCAATTACTCGGGTAATGTTTACGTTCTGCATCGCGTCGTGAGATTATTTGCCTCTGTTTAATAAATAAATTGTCCGCACTGTGATGCCTGGTATAATCGTTCAGCGGCATCAGCAGCGCGAGAAAATATCGTCGATAACGTAAATGGTGTAGATTTTAACTGATAAGCAACAGCAACGCTCCTACGTTGGGGTGGTGCTTGAGAATTTTTTTTTTTTTTTTTCCATCGAGGTCCACGTTTTTCTTCAAGCGTCCGATAAACAGTTTGATTGTAAAAGTGTGTACGGGTACATTTGATCTACAAAACGGTGAAGGACATCGAGCAAAAAAGAGATGGGGAACAATGGCAGCAGGCTATTGTCGTACTCGGGAAACATGGTGAGCTCTATGGTATCCGGGGGCCGCAAGCGCAAGTGTATCGAGGAGTCGGACCCGGATTCCGAGTCCAGCTTCATCGAGAAGACGCTACAGACGCCGAAAAGGTATTCTGTAGTGAACTTTATTATCTGGGCGCCCGGCTGCTTTGTTTACTTTGTATCGATCCTTTTTCTCTCTCTCTCTCTCTCTCTTTGACTTCTCTTTGAAAAACCCTTGAGATACAATAGCCGTACGTGTAAGCTACCGTAATTATCGACCTTCCTTGTATTAGCACCGATGACATCACCCTTCGTGTACGCGCCCGAGGCTCCTATAGAAAAATATTTTGTATTATTTGCACGCACGACGATGATGCTTTACTTTCAATTTGTTTTTTTGTGACGTAATTTATAAATTATCATTTTTCTTTGCAGGAGAAAATTGATGAGCACAGCTGAGTATATCTACAAAACGTTATTCCTGGAGGAAAAGGGTAGCGACATAACGGTGCTAATGCTGGGAAAAGCTTGGAAGTTACACAAAGTTTACATAAGCCAGGTAATAGAGCTGTTTTTTTTTTTTTTTGGATTATGGATGTTTCAGATGGATTAAATAATCATAAGCTAGAAAAAGTGTAAGAAACTGCCGAGTTTAAATTCACTTCGGATTATGTTTTCATTACTTGTGTTGAACAAGTACTAAATCATAATAACTTATTATCACAATGTTTGATAGCTATGCTTAACACAAAATACAAAATTTTAATGATTGCTTAAGTAATAATTGTCTTTTTCAGAGTCCCTACTTTGCTAGTATGTTTTCTGGTGCTTGGCGTGAGGCTAACGAATCCAAGGTGAATGTGGAAATTAGCGACCCCAACATTACTCTCGATTGTAAGATTTGCTTATATCTATTACTTAAGTATGTATAAGAGTTCCTTTTTTGGAAATAAAACCAGCGAGAGATACTGTATAGAGTTCTTGAAACGGAAAGTGAAAGTTCAACAACCATGCGTTCATTCATGATTGACCTACTTTACTATACTAGGGTTCTCATGCATCATCCTGTGTTGCAATTTTAACTTTTATGGTCCTGAATTTGAAAAAGTTCTCTAAAAGCTGTATTAAGTAAGTTGCCGAGGCTATAAAGCAAATATTTACTTGTACCCAATTTTCTATGAGTATATATTTAGAAAAAAATAACTTTTTTGAATATTATAAATAAACCGAATTTTAATGTTGTTGATATAAACTTAAAAATGCCTTTCCTTGATACAATCAAATAAATCTTATTGCATAATTTTTTCGTGAAAGTCTCGTGAATTGATATTATATAATTAAGTGTTTCATTGTAAAAGTGAAAGTTCGTCGTGATGTAAGAACTGCATTACGAGTATCAAGTACATTTTTTTTATTAGACTTCAAATAGGAAATTGTAAAACGCTAAAACTTGGATGTAAATTTTTTAATTCTCTTAGTTTTAATTTAACAGTTCAACTAAAAATCTATTATGTATTGCAGCTTTAACAATTGTATGCGGTTCATTTTACCAAGATGAAATTAATGTTGAGCCAAAAAATGTGGTATCTGTCCTCGCGACAGCTACACTTTTTCAACTCCAAGGACTTATTGACCAGTGTACTGAAATAATGATCGAGACAATCAACATGAAGACCGCAGTTTCTTACTATAACGCGTCAGTGTGCTATGGTGTGCCAAAAGTTAAAGTCATGTGTAAAAGGTGGCTGGAATTCAATTTATTGGAATACGGTAAATTCCATGATGCGTTCCTGACTGACATAAGTCCAGAGCTGATGACTGAACTTGTTGCCAGCCCCGATCTCGTCGTTATGCAAACTGAATTCTGCATTTACGTAATGCTAAGAGTGTGGTAATTAAACTCAAACTTTAAATACGGAACTGAAAAAAAAAACAAGCCACTTTAATTAATTTTATTTCAGGCTGTTTCAGCAAGTCCAGCACAATTATATTGACTACAATTTGGTGACGTTTTATAAAAACCATCCCTGGACTGAGCCGTACCTCGAAACGCAAGAAGGCGAGGAGTTTAGTGCACCGTTTGAAGCACTAAGAAAAAAGCATTTATTGTTGAGCGACAGTGATATACAAATTTTATACAATGACAATTTAATACCTGAAAATTGGCTGTACGAAGCTTACAAAGAACAATGGTTGCACATTTTGAGAATAAATTCACGTCGAGAAATAGGGTGAGTATAATGTTTCCAGAATTTTATTCATCTTGGTTCCAAACGAAAATTAACTTCCCTTATCTATATCCTAGATTCCCGAACAAAATTCCGTCTGTCGCTCTCTTCTATTTTAGAAAAAAGCTTTACTCTAGGTATTTTACCATAAAAATTTTCCAAAAAAAATCCACTAACTTGATGTGTACTCTTAAACTTCGTGTAATTACAGGCCTAGAGCAGTGAACGAGCAGGATTTCGCAAATGAATGTTTTCGCTGCGCTAGATGCGTGGAAAGACCAGGAGAACATTTATGGCGCTGGACCGCGTTTCACTATGGCTTGGACCTCGTTGTAACCCTTGACGCTACAACACTCAAATTCAAAAGATACAACAAAATTGATTCAGGACAAATAAAAGCTAACCACGATAAACATTACGTTATGTTGAGGTGCTCATCAAAAATTTTAAAAACGCCGTTGACTTGTACTTTGAATTGATTTAATTAAAATAATTTTGTTTCTTTTTTCAGAATTTGTTTATTTTCACTTAATGAACAGCGACAAATTAAATATATTCAGAACTCGGGACTAATGCGACTGTCACTTCAAAAAAACGAAGAGGTAAATTCGTTAAAATAATTCGTTACTAATTTTGGCATATAATGTTGAAAAAAAAAATTATTTAATCACTTAATTTTTTTTTTTTTTTTTTTTTTCAGAAACAAGTATTGTGCCTTAACCAAAAGTTGTCGTATCCATTGTACGTGTCGGTAAATTTGCAAGTCGTCACGGGACTCGTCACACGTAAAGGGGATAAGAGCTCGACCAATTCAGAGCTCTCAGATACCTAGTCAAGGAACCGAAACGCTAAGTATCCGCTTTGCCTCGCCAACACTCCGACGAATGCAAAGCAAACACACATTGCACACAAACACATTCACGACAAAAAACTTAATTACAAATACATATATGCTTTTATGTATTTATGTATTCACAAACTAGTCGAAAATTGTCGCTTATACCGTGTCTTGTGAAAGGTAGCGATTGTGTTTTGCTTTGGTAACGCGCACAAAGACGATAATACGTTGAGAACACATCAGATCACAGTGCCAGTTGTCTCTCAATAATATTAGAACTCTACCTCTTGTGTATCAAATTTTTCATGAAGTGAAAAGGTGAAAAAGAGTACGCAGATCTTTGGTAAGGATGTTATATTTCATTGCCAAAGTAACGATTATAAGAGACTTTATAACTAATAATTTGATATAAAAGTATATATTTTTATTTTAAAAGAAAAATGAAATAATTTTACAGAATATTTTATTTTGAAAATATTAAATTTATTTGAATATATTATATATGTTGATATTTACTTAAATATAAAGCTTGCGTTATCCAGATGGTTTTGGTGCAAAATATGATTTACCGGCCAATTGGACTAAAAATGAATGGAAATCAAGTGAATAAATTGAACGAATCTAAGAAAAAAAACTTTTCGTAGCAGGGCGATATTTTTAATATTGAACTAATCATTCCAATTTAATTTTGCATTCTACAAATAAAAATAAACATTTATCTAATAGTTTCCGGAAACAATACATTGATCATGCAAATTGAATTTCGAGTTTAAGCTGCGATTAATAAAAACGAAATAGTACTTCTTGGGATATAGAACTCTCGGTGCCTTCGCAATATTGAGTTCACGCGATTACGATGCTGTAAAGTATTAATTCCCTACCTTTGGTACGGACGTGTAAACTCAACACTTTTTAATAAAGCTTTTCTACATGAAGAGATCATATGTTTACGATAAATAAAATGATTTACAACACAAATTGTTGGTATGATTATTTGTCATGACCTTAAGAAAATGATAAAAATAACCAAATAATAAAGTCAAAGAAAAAGGTATACAAGGATAATTCGTAATCATCATGAGCTTTTATTTAAATATAATTTATACATTTCATTAAAAGTTTATAATAATATTCCTTACCTCTCGAGTTTAAATCGACATTGGATTGACAAAAGGTCGACGCACATTATTTTAATCGGTTCGTTGATAAACGAAAATACATTATTACATATATCCCATTTCTCGTGAATCGTTTTGATGCTCGTGCAAAACAAAAGAACGCACACGAAAGTGTTGGTTTGAAAATTTTTGTTAACCATGCAACATTTTATTAACGCAATATCAAACACAATACGATGGACGTGAGTGTTTACAACAGTATCATCGCTTTAGCACTATTTTTTAGATACAAAATCAATCGTTAACGTTGATTAGGACATTCTTTCGACACAGCTTGTTTAAAAAAAAAAATAAATAAATAAATGTCTTCATTTTAACTTTGTTTCTATTGCTTATTTCTGTAATCTTAACATAGGTCTATAAATAATCGACCAGACTTTTGAAGGCAAACATTAAATTCCGTTTGAAAGTATTTTCTGTGCAGCACCCAATTGTATTTCACAAAATAGTATGTATTAGGCATTTAAAATGAATTTCTTTAGACTTGTAAAACGACGGTACATTATTAGAAAAAATTGAGTTTTGTATTTTTTATACAAAAATAAAGTTGTTCAATTTTACGATTACAATTAGGAATTTTTTGCACTGACGTTAATTAAACATGAGCGTGCCTCGTTCGTACATTGAAACCAACTCAATGATCATCGTTTGAATTAATTAAAGCTTAAACAGTTTTTTTTTAATTAATAATCCAACGAAGTATTAAATACACGTGTAATGAAATCTACATTAAAAAATTTTAAATACTAAATACTTAGTATTGCAGTAATGAACGTCGCATCGAGATTGTGACGATTTCAACGCTGATATGTCTCGTTGATGTTTGAAATTTTTTATCTTTGAACTATCGTAGGGAGATTTAAATACGTGTAACACAAAACTTACATACGCGCGCGTTGTTGACTTGTTGACATTCACTTGAGAAAGTAAAAGCGATTGATGAATCCTTATTGGAGATTTATGCTTATTTTTTCTCTTTGTCTCCTCCGTTACGTAAACAATCAGAGGCACGTTCGAATTTTTTTTTTTTTTTATTAACTTTTGCGTAAAAGACGTACGCATGCGAATTGCATATTATATGGACTTTTGCCATGTAAGGGCGATCAAACAGTTCTTTGGCATTTTAAAAATTTTAGCAGTCCGCGTCGGTTGCGTGCGGGTAATTTTTATTTGTACACGAATTGAATTTCGAGTTAGAAATCATGTGGTAGCCGTACTTGTTGATTTAATATAATAATAACTAACGAAAACTAGATTTTCCATATTTCCTCGTGATTTCAGTTACGTAACTTGTTATCATCATATGTGTGTGTAGGTATGTATACAGCAGTTATAAAAAAAAATCGTTCGATGTATGGTGAAAAAAAAATCGAAATGTTTTCATGCACTTTTTTTGTGTCCATTTTTGAATTTTAAAAACAAATTTTTCCAAACCATTATCCACCGTAGCTTTTTACAACAGAAGGTGATCGGCAATAAAAAGCATGTAAATAAAATTACGGGCTATTGTGTAGGTAAACTTTTGAAAACCATAAAAAAGATGACGTATTTTTGTACAACTTCACATTTGAATTCATGCGATCGTCGACGAAAGGTTCTCACACTCTCGTGCAGTATCAAAAGAATGCGCGCCAATCGACTTATCATTTTTCACTATTTTCGTTCAAAATTTCAAGTAACGAGTGCACACAGCAGTCGAGACGGGTGGACTCGACCCAACGCGTTATTTTGTTTTATTTTTAAGTTACTTTTCTATTTATTGTAAAATTCGAGGCAAACGTGGATATTGCTCCTGGAAAACTTTTTGCTGGCTAGTTATATACTTTCTGTTTCTTTTTTTTTCTTTTACATTTACTTATGCATCGGCAAACCGATAAATATTTTTTGTACTTTACAAAGCACATTGGCCTAGGTTTTATTTTTATTCTTTCATTTAAAAAAGCAGTTCTTTTCTATTAAAATTCAATCTCAGACCTATTGGTGTTTAATAACGGCGCAAGGAATTTACCCCCCGATCCGTGAAAGCGGTGCTTTTCTGTCAAAATAAGCTTCCATTGAAACAAAGTCGGATAGATATGTATACGCTGTTTAAAAACTGTCAAAGCAACTTTAAACATTTTAGTACTACTTAGGGGGGAAAAAAATCATTGAGAAAAAGGGCAAGGACGTAATTACATCTTGTGCAAAAAAAGGTGAAAACTGGGAATGTGGTGTAGAATTAAGTATTCATTAAAACTTTCAGTGCAAAATATTAGGTGAATTTTTTACTCAAATTCACGGCATGTAGGGGCGGAACGTTTTTAATCATCGAATTTTTTACGTCTCATTTAGGAGTACAGAACGAGGTTCTGCGAATTACCTTGAACCTATGTATGTAGGTGTATTCCTTTTTTCCATCCATTTTTCACAAATTTGTCTCCACACTGATTATTGGCCGAGCCATTCTGGATTTTTTTGCCTTTCCTATTATTACTCTACTTTGCTGACTCATCTATTTTTTTTAATCTTTAGAACAAGGAACTTCTAAATACTTCACTGCCACCGAAAAAAGTGAATTACACTCTCGCCAATAAATTTTCACTGATTATTCTTTTATTTACTAATTTTATTTTAATTTATTCTGTTTTATTTTTTACATCACTTGTAACGTTTTGTAATGACGCTCAAATTATTCAGCCGCTGCTTTTTTTTCACAAATTTTTAAACATTATTGCAAATCCTTGCGTGTATTTATCTTAAATTTTTGTCTCTCCTATTCCGAGTCTTGAAATATAATATAACGGTGTATTAATTAAGTACAAACTAAGCGCGCGCATCTGCGTATTTGGCTGACAGCTATGGGCTAGCAGTGATCTGCGTTTTTCAAATATAATTTCATACAACTTTTTTTTCCAGAATTTTTAATTTTACGTGAAATTTATAAACCCTGCAAAAATTTATTATTTTTCTTAAACGATGAAACTATGCGACTAAATAAAGCTTCCAAAATAACAATCATTACACGTAGGATGTGTATCAAAAAGTCATTCTCGTCTAACCGAGCCAGAGACAGTTTGTTAATTATCAAACGTTACGTTATATATTTTTTTTCAACTTCAACTCGCGAAAAAACAGCCAATTTCTCTCTTACACGCTAGGTTTTATCATTTAGTTGAAAAAAAGTCCTGTTCAATTCCCTATGTGAAACTTTCAGATAAAGGACGCGATTTTTTCCTCACTTCTAGTCTTCATCGTCTCCTACAGTCATTTTCACCGTGAAACTACGGTAATGTTGGAGTACCACGCCAGTTGCTGTCTAATTTTCACCATAGTTTTACCGTGAAAATTCCTGTGTCCCAGTATTACCCTAAAAATTACTGTGGTTTTTTTTTTCCCCGTGCACAAACTCTTGCAAAATAGCCCTTTTTTAACACTTTTTTTCATCATTTTAAAAGTTTTTTTGTTAATTTTTTCATTGTTATTCGTCAACAGTGGTCGCTCACGCTTGCGAGATTTCAAAAACGGCTAATAAAGGCCCGCGATTATTTTCCATTGGTTGCCGGCGCTTCTGGGCACGAAATAATCATTGTAAGCTCGCTACTGTTACATCTTTCATCATAATTTTTTTTTTTTTTTTTTTTTTCTTGTAACACAAGGAATCATTTTCCACGGACGTAATTTTCGTTTTGTCCTACAACGCCTTGTCGTTACTGCATGCTTGCAGCAGTAGATTCAGTTGGAAGAAGCCAACCGCGACGACGACGTCGTGTAGGTACAACCAATTCCATCAACTTGAACATCGCGAATCTATAAAAATCCTCTCTTACACTACGTCTCCGTTTAACGCAACTAATTTATTAACATCATCTTTATTAAACTAACTATGTATATATACGTATATTATTTATTGACGCAATAATCTGCAGGCAGTCGGCGCCGTGCTAAGAACGTAATCAAGACGCGGTGGGGGGATAGCGGGAAAAAAATAGCAATGGAAGGAAAAAAAAAAAAAAAAAATGATACGAGAAACTGAAACCAGAGCGGCGATGATTCCCAATAATCTCGAGACCTCGTCTAATATCCCCTTGATACGCTTCATTCCTCCCTTCGGATGTTAATACTGTGATACCGCGAGTGAAACGCCGGTAGGAGTGTACCGCCGGTCCCTTTCGTTATTAGCTCGCTCCCCGTTTCTTCCGGCTGGTGCAGTACTTGTCGTCACCGTGGTTAGGTCGACGAGCGATTCCGCAGAGACTCTTTTCTCGGGTTACTGTTTGCGTAGCGGCGCAGGCTGCGATACTTGGCTGGCAACCTCCTCCTCCTTCTCCTCCTCCTGGGGGTACGAGGGAAAGTGGATTATTGTACGTCGTTAGCGTGGCGTCTCGAGATCGATATATTGGAATTATTATTGACTCGGCGATTGTGTATCGGATGTAGCTTTTTTTTTTTTTCTTTTTTTTTTCCTCGCCGGCGAAGATGTCAATTTATTTCCTCCAACGAGCCAATCTTTACTTTTTGCTTCCAACAATAAGACGGTGTCTTTTGTTTTATTTTTACTTTTCGTGTCTCAATCGTACAAATGCAGGCACAGTGAACGATAAATTTACGAATCGATACGTTATAATTTACGGAGCTATGATGCTTCCGACGAACTTTTTTCTTCTTCTCTTTTAACCTTCGGTAATTGAAAATTTAACAAAGTTTTAGAGTCCCATAGCTTACGCGGAAATAAGTCATCGATTTCGGCGAAAATATAAATTCCCGACCGAGTGATTCGAGTTGTCACCTGGCTGTTTACACAGTGAACGAATAGTCTTCTCCGTGAAAAATTGATCGTCGCGACCGGAAGAAGTATTGAAAAAAAAAAAAAATATATATATGAAGTTGCACGAGCGCACCAACCATCTAGGCAACGGCGAGTCGAAAAAGCGGTCCCTATGGCAGGGTCGTCGTCCTCGGCGCGAGAACCATGGCTCCGAAGCATAGCAGCGCGACGAGGCCAATCCGCCGAACCGTGCCCGTGGTACTCAGCGTCGACTCGGCGCCGTTGCAAAGATCGGTGTCGCACGAGCAGTAGAGCGCCTTTACATCGTGGGTACCGCTTCTCCTCAGGCAGTCCTTGTTGTCGGCCATGGCGTCCTCCAAAAATCCACAACCCCGCACCACGCGGTCTTTCCCGTACACTGAAACATTTTAAAGAAAAGATATTTATTTTATTTTTTTTCGTCTCATTTACAGTATTGTTTTCAATTATCCCGCTTCGCTTTTACGGCGTTTCGATTAAAGTGTCCGATATATATTATGTGGGGCAAATAAGAATACATCGTTCCTGTTCATGCACACGTGTATACTCGTTCCAGGGCCGCGTCGGTTTCGACCGACCTTGAAAATACAACCATTACGTAACTATATAGCTTATTTCGATTCGAGCTTTCAAGTTTGTGTGTATGGTGTACTTTACCCCAGATAACGATCGAATGTCGTGTGCACGAAAGACTTTGTTTTTTTTTTTTTTTTTTACGGGCAACTGTGAGTTATGTTAATTTTAGTACGGCATGTTTCACTTATTTAAGTTGCAGTCCGTTACTTAAGATTTTCGATGGGGGATTAAATTGTTCAATAATCAAGCAATACCAATCATCCGATTACAAAAGTTTCAATTAAGTCGCTGCCTCTATTTCACTACGTACATTGTGAAACTTGCGTATGCATAGATTGTCAACTCACGTGGATAAAATGCTAAGCGTTAATTTTTTACAGATGCTTAATACCAAGTGTAATCGTCTTACAGTTTTTTTTTTTTTTTTTTTTTNTTTTTTTTTTTTTTTTTTTTTTTTTTTTTTTTTTTTTTTTTTTTTTTCATCAGCTTTACTAATTGATATTGTACCTTGCGAAACTGCATTTTGCAAGCAAGCAAACTTGAAAATATTATATTTGAAAAATTGCAATGTACCACTGTGTAGCAACAGGCATGCAATACAAAATCTTTTTCTCCGTGCAGCCTCCAGCTTGTAACTTTTCATCCACTCAAGGTGTATGTGTGTAATTCCATTTAAGATGATGATAATAATAATAGAGGAGCATGTGGTAGAGTGAGGGCAATATCTTTCAAAAAAATACAAGTTACAACAGGTACAGGTGCACTCTCAAGTTTGCGCCAAACTCTTTTTTTTTTTTTTTTTCGCTCTCACTGTGGTTGGTCCACGTTAACTGTAAATTTTTTAAGGGTCAAAAAGTCATGTATACGCGCGAGCGCACACGAGAACAGGAGTAGCGGTAACTCTACAACAATTTTTGCAGTGCCTGCAAAGGTATAATATGATGTATAAGGTATAGGTGTCACCCTCACTTTTCTCTATAAATTCAAAAAATACGAGGCGCGTTGAATTTCATCCACCCTGTAATATTATAATATCGTGTTTATTTTATTGCTTCGTTTCAAGTTGTCCCGGACGGACTAACTGATCCGAGAAGATTCAACGTGGCTTGGTGCGAAAAAAGGCTTATTTTACATTTTTCAAGTGCGTGAAGATACTTAATATATCTTTGTGTCTCAAAGTCACGTGCGAAATGCGCTCGTTATAGAGAAAAGAGCCACAACCGTATAGTAACAGGTACATCAGTGTCACGCGTGTATCTTTTACAAGGTATATATATACACCAGTGTCCCAAAAATACCACCCTATTTGTCTGTTTACCAAGCAAAGTAAACAAGTAGAAAGGCGATGTGACATTTTTTTTTTTTTTTTTTTTTTTTTTTTTTTTTTTTTTTTTTTATCTAATCCACTCGCTAAAGCTCAGATTTCCTCACAGTTATTGCACAAGTGCTATTCTCTCCTTTGATCAGTACACCTACGTCAAGAAATTAAAAAAAAAAATTCTCTAAGTATACATTATTACGTCCTTCTTCCGATTGTAGTGTACCTATACAATAAATAGACCAATTTACAGTATTTGCGAGCAGTCTATCGAGCTTTCGTAATACATGAGCACCACCGTAATGCATTGGCTTATAAATTGATACTAATTCATTAAAATAATATTAACAGGTAAAAAAAAAAAAAAAAAAAAAAATGTTCCAGAGGAGAGCAAAAGTCGCGAATTTCTGTACGTATACCAATACGAGTAGATAAATATATTCAGTGAACATTATACGTATGTACACGCAATAGAGAGGTGCAGGTAGATCGAAGCGTGCTATGTATACACAGTATAGGAGGCCACCTACTTACAGCGTTATGTAACAAAGCAATATTAGATGGGTGGGAGGTTCTCGCGGAGGTTACCTATAGTATATATTATATATATAGCTTTTTGGACACCTACATGTTATACAGACAATATGTATTTGTGCCTTTTACATTTCGGAAGAGAGGGACGACGCCGCAATGCAGCGATCAGGGCGTCTCTGCCAAGTTTTCTCTTTGAGGGGAGGGGGCGCGATTTTCCCGGGTTTCTTATTTACTTCCTCGACTCCGTGGAACACGCTGGAGAAGGTGTTGGAACTTTTGGCATACTTGTTCTTCGACTGCTGTATTTATAGTGGGGCGCGTGTTGATGTACGTTTTTGAAGGTTGATCGGTGCCATTACGTGAATATACTTTACACGTAGGATGCTGCTGTTAAAGGTCGCGCATGTTTACATATGTATGAGGCTACGGTACAGAGTGATTATATGCGACGAGCTTATTTTTTTGTTATTATTTGCAATTCGCGTTGGAATTTTGTTTATTTTTGTGGTTGCTGTAAATAATTCACTTGCGCCAATTGGAGTCTCGGTTGAAATAAAATTAAAAAATTGCAAATAAACGGAATATTGATTTGATTAGACAAAAAAAAGTCGACAGTTTTTAAATAGCCTCCTTTCAAATATTCTGGGGAAAAAAAGAGCTACTTCATTTAGAAACGTAACAATGACATTTTGCACAACTGCCGCTGTTGTTATTGTACCCAGGAGAGTTTTAAATTTCATCGCCGTGTAAATAAGAAAAAGAAAATCTTCGTCACTGTACCGTGATTCTGCGTTTTCCGACAAATTTGACGTATAAAGCTTTTTTTCCATGCGAAAAGTCGATACACCGATCCACGCAATCGATAATCTAATATTAACCACAGTTGAACGTGTTCGATTGCATTCTACCATTTCTCACGGAGAAAAATAATTTTAAAAAAGGTTTTACGGTGCTTGGCAACATGTTAAATAAATTTTCTACCACAATGCTTGAATAGCAATCGTTTGACTTGAAAAGTTCGTGGAACCAGCTGATAAAAGATCTAAGTATTTGCTTGTTGCATTTAAAATGCTCATCAACACTACATGCTATCGTGTATCCTATACAAAAATAAAACGTGTTATTTTGACAAACTCTGATTTACAGTGTTTATGTTGATTAACAAACACTAAAGCCCATTTGTTTAAATTCTCGCACCTAATGCAGCTGTCCAGCGCACAGTAACAGCCGCTTTTTGGTCAGACGTATATGTATTATACCTGCACACACAGGTACATCAACCATGCCACTGTTTAAACATTCATGTGTGTGAATTTTAATTTCTCTCTCGTATACGGTAATTCGACCGGATAAATTTTCATCTATTATATTGATTGTTGTGCACTACTCGTTTTGGAATCTGCCATATATTGTATGCATAAAAAACAAAATAATATGGTGGGGATGGCTGACCTTTTTGCGAGATTTTCCTGCAGAGGGTGGGCTCGACGCTGTTGAGGTGCTCCAGCCGCGGTTGAAAGCTGCAGTTGACCGTGCCAAGGCTGTAAGGGTCGAAGGGGTCGCCGCATCTCGGGTCGTACTCACTGTTGCACTGGTAGCATATCACCGCCGCACCTGAAAAAGTTAACGATTTACTGTCGATGTTTGTTTTGTCTCTTGTGTGTATATATAAGTATATATATATCAATTACACGAGACTTTGCTCAAGAGAGATGTAGGTACAGGTACAGTGTTTGGGCTTTCGAGTATATACTTTTGTGGTTGTTTGTCGCCCTCTTGGAGTTTTATTTGAAAAGAATAGCGTATAACAACCAATTGTATTCGATAATATCTATTTTTGTTTTGTTTAATCCATTATCTCATCCATTTTTAAGTAAATTATAACTTACGTATATTACGAAATACGCTTGATTGCAAACATTAGCGAATAAATCACGAAAATGGCTAAAAATCGCAAGCACGATGATACGTGTTAATAAGTAAATGATAACGTCACTTTGAATAATTGCCGCTCTCACTCGCGCGATTTCTGTGCACGATAAATGCTGGTGTGGGAAAAATGAGAGTTTTATTTATGTAATATTAAGTGCAATGAAAAGCGAAGAAAAAAAAAAAAAAAAAAACTGTCACCCATAATTAGACCGATGTACGCTCGAGGAACTCTGAATCTCTATGGCACGATTTTTCCATTAAAAACTTTTTACTCTGTCTCCAAAAAGCTTTTGTTTTACCTCTAGGTGTAGCTTTTTCGCTCATAACCCCTCCCCAAATTTTTTCCCCATCCTTTTTCTGTCAGATAGAACAAAGAAAAACGAAGACGATAAAAAAACTGAGTGGATTCTTCAAGCGTATATTGTTTACTGCATAGTTGCATGATACGTATATTTGTAAAAGTACTGAGCTCAATTTTCTATTGTCCATCAGTTAAACGGCGTGACTGAGTTGTGTAGACGTATGAAAAAAAAAAAAAAAAAAAAAAACCTATAAATCAAGTGAAAGTTAAACAAACACACACCCATGCACTGGCAGAGACAATAAATGCAAGGGCAAAGTTTCGAGTTAAACACCTATACTGTAGAGAGAGAGAGAGAGACACGCGTACCTTATTTCCCGAGAAATACAGCACTCGCGTTGTTTCGAGGAGAGTTCAGCTTGGCCTGCGAACCCAACCGTATCTCTCTCACTTCGCGTACACTTGCAACAACTTTTATTCCCCTTGGACTACACGCGGAAACGATCGGAGAGAATACAGGATCCTCCAGCGAAGTCTCGAAAAGTCGAGATAGCTTCGAAACAACAAATCATCCTACGTTTAGGTGAGGGGGGGGGGTGGAAGAAAAAAAAGAATTTTCCAAATTACTGGATAAAACTGTAAAGAAGAAGAAGAAGAAGCAACCTAGAATTGAGTCACCGGCATCCAAAGTGCCCCAAGGGACCATCCAGCCATCATCCCTCGATCCCGGTTCCTCCTCGTACGAGTGCCCCACGTATAAGTAGGTCAACGGTGTTTGGTTGTAAATATATGTATCCGATGACGTAGTAGTGCTTCTTCGTCGCTGATGCTGTGTGTGTGCGTCGATCGAACGAGCTCCTATACGAGTAAGCTAATAAACCTACCTTCCCCCACCCGTACACTTTTTATTTTTTATTTTCCTACACCAAATAGTGAGCAAAGAGACGGGCAAAAGAGGGAGCAAAAGCTCGATGGACCATTAAGTTTTACGGCCAGCCCGCGCTTCTGGCTATACTCTTCGTGTATATGTATGGACACGTACGTACTCAAAGTACAAATATATATATATATATATATACACAGTATAGG